CCCATCTTTGCATAAGGCACCCAAAGGGAATGTAGGAGTGAAACAACAGGAAGGACATCAATTCTTTAAAGCCAGAAAAGGGGTTCTGCTAGCATTTGTATGCCATTTAGGCTGGGGTCAATTTCCCTTCATGAAGCTTCACCTTGAAGAGCAATATGTGGTATTTGTTCCTTGAGTGGCAGATGGGGACGCAGGACATCAATCACAGCATTGATTTGAAAAAGCTGAATGTTCTACTTAGCAGGAAGCAGTAATGGGAGAGTCGCTCCCTTGCTTCCTGGAATTGTCCCTATTCTTTCTGAGAGACGGAATGCAGAGCAGCGTTGAACAACAGATGAAGCCAGATTATTTTTCAATCCCATGGAAATTATCGATGGGCTATCCTTCTGTCTCCTAAAACACTACTGCTCTTGATCTGTGTGTTCTCTCTGACTCCTCACCAAGTTTAAGAGAACCAAGAAGGGGATCAAGACATTCCTCCATCATCATCCTGGGCACTAGATCAAAGTCGCGTGTCTTTGGCGCAAGCCATGCGGGACTGACAGTAGCGTTCAGAGAACATCCAAGAGTCAAATCTGATGCCTAGTACTAGGCCTGGTCGCACTAAGAAAACAAAGGATTATGTTGCCATCAAGTTTCAGGAATGTCAACAAGCTGGAAGTGCTCGTGATCGGCCACAGAGCCTAATGTACACATTGTTTAAAGTTTCACCCAAGAATTGGAAAATATTTGTGGGTAAATCAGCTGAGTTACCAATATTGTCCAGTGATTTAAAAAAAAAAAAGTCTAGTTATCTTGTACAATTACGTTTAGCTGTAACAAGGCAGGAGAAAAGAAAGCTTTTCCACCCGCTTTGGATGATTCCAAGACTACAGCCTCACTTAGAAATGAAGAAAAGAGAGAAACTTCAGTGCACACAAAATCTTTCTTTGTTCTGCAAGGGAGACACTCTTGCTTTCCAAAAAGGGGAGTGCATGAGCACGCCACTGCGGAACCTATGGGTTAGTCTCAATGCTCCATATATTTGAGGAGGATTGTATAGGTTAAAAGATGATGTGACCCAACACTGCTTTCATCTCACAGACCCTATTGCCCATCTTCCCCATGTAAATGCTGTGATGGCTGCTCATTTTTTGTGCCAGTGTTTGAATAGCAACAGTCGACTCGCAATCTGGATATCCTACATTGTCCCCTCACAATGAAAGGATTTAGGTCGACTGTCAGGTGACCTTTTAATCCTAGAGGACCCAGTTGAGATTACTATCTGATTTTCAGGTGACAACACCAACAATATATCAAATATTTGATGGGAGGGGTGAAATGGGTCTGATTGCTCACTAGAAGCATGTAGGATGGAAGAACCCAGAAACAGAGAGCAGATCTCAGAATGTGGTGATGGGAGGTCTTATCACCTTGTACAGAATTCTTAGAGTCTCCACATTGGCTGTACTGTCCTTTCACGTATCTTTGCTGCAATTGCAAGCTACAGGGATACTCTGGTAGCTGTAAGAAGCCATGGAAAGGGAGTTGAACAATAGGGCAGGAGCACTAGTGCCTGCCTCTGGCAGGACAACCCGGTTGGATCAGCCTTCAGCCCTTAAAGTGTTTGACCTTAGCAATTCTTAGCTCCACGGTGTTAGCCAACACTTTTTATGTACCATATCTTTAATCAAAAGTCAGTTAGAAAACTCCTGGGCTCTTTGGTGTTTTCTGTTCTCATGCTGTTACTGATAAGGCAGATTTTGATTGCATTTACCTATGCATCTGTTTCAGGTCACCTGGACAAGAAAGATCTGGTGTGGGCCCTTAGTGTTCCTGGAATCACGTACCGAGCAGCAGTGGTGTTATCTAGCTGGTTTGATCTGATTCATGAGAACTTGTCATTAAATTATACGCATAACCTCTAAGCCAAAATCTCACACTTTTCCCACTCTGAACCAACTGGCATTGCAATGCCACTGCATTGAGCCCTTTTAATTTAATTGTATTATTTAGCGCAGATTGCTGAATTTTTGATATCAAGGTGATGTTTGTAGTTTTTTTCAATGAAAAGTAAACAAAAGTTTAAATTAAGTATCCCAGCTCCATTCAAGAATTATCCCATATCATTCTTAATTTTATTTCAAGCTTTTACGTTATTCATTGAAGCTTAGTCTTGCAAATGTGCTCTGCCCTTGCCTCCGAGGCAAAGATTCTAGCACTACCAAAGCATCAATTTCATATCCTATAGTGGGCCAATGGTGACATCTAGTGGCTATAAAACAAGCAATAAATCAACCCCACTGGTCCAGGCAGATCTTGAGAATGGGCAACACTTAGGCCAGTGTTGTCCAAACTTGGCCACTTTAAGATGAGTGGACTTCAACTCCCAGAATTTCCCCCACACAGCCGCTCTGTTGGGGGGAAGTATGGGGGGGATGCGCCCCCCACTCAACAAGGGACCCTGCCAACAAACAAAACAACGGACGAAAAGA